ATTTGTAATTTTACTCAGGTTTTTTTTTAATTTGTTTCACTATAAACTTTTCTTCTATTTATTTTAAATTATATATTTTTTATTTATTTAGTCGTTAGTAACTTTTTTTTAATCTTATAATTTTTTTGTTTGGATTTTTATTTTATAATATTCAATAATTCATTAAATTTTATTTACTTTTAAACTTGTTTTCCTTTTTTTAAAAGTATTTATTTTTTGCTATTTATTATTTAATTTTTTTTAATTTAATTTTTTTTGTTACAAACTAAACCCATTTATAATAATTTATAATTTCTAGAATTTTTCTTCAGATTTAGTTCATAAAGTCGCTTAAAATTTTTGGCTTTTGTATTTTTTATATTATTTTTTTTTTACAAAAGTAATTTACTAATAAAAATTGTTTTATAAAAATATAATTTTTTTAAATTATAAATTATTTTTCTTTGGATTTATAAAATTTTATAACTTTTTTTTATATTTTTTATTAATAGATTTAACTTCAATATTTTTATTTTATTTATTATAAAATGTTAAGTATTATTTTCTTTACTCAATTTGTTAAAAACTTTATTTTTTTTTAAATGTTTAATAAAATTTATACTTTCGATTATGTTTATGAATCTTTATTATAATAATTATTACTATATTTTCTTTTGATGATAAATTTTTTTTATTTTCATATTTTTAATTTTCTAAATTTTAATTATTCTTTCTTCCAAAGTAAATATTTTTTATTATTATTTATTATTATTATTTTTCTTTATAATAATTTAATAAAATTCATTGTTTAACATAAATTTATTAAATTATTTTTTTATATTTATGTTAAAAATTTATTACTGAAACAATAACAAAAAAAAGTTTTTTTATATTTATTTTTATTGTTATTTTAGTTTTTTTTTATTATAAAATATTACAACTAGTTTTATGATATTTTATTTATTTTTTGTATTAAATTATTTATTAAAATTTTATTATTATTGATTTTATTATTTTATTATTTTGGTATAAACTATATTGATTATGGATTTCTTTATTAAAAACATTATTTTTACTATTATTACCTTATTATAACTTTTTTTTACTTTGTATTTTTTTTTATTAATTTATTATTCATGAAATATTATATTTATTATTATTTACTTTATTATATTTTAATTTTTATTAACATTTTATTTTATATAACTTTTTTATTCTTTTTTTTTATATTGATTTATAATTTTTATTATTATATTCTAATATATTTTTTGAAATTATAAAAAATTTTTAACTATATAAATTTTTATATATTTCTTTACTAATTTTTTACTATTATACATATAAATTTGTTTTATAATAATTTTTACTTTTGATAATTTCATTTTTTTTCTCTTGATTTTATAATTCAACTAAAATATAATAATAATCTAAAATAATAATAATAATATAATAATAATTATTATTTTGGTAAAAGTATGCAAAATATTACTCATAAGGGATTTTAGTAATAAATTATAATTATAGTAATTAAATAAATAAAAACTTATATAAATATATAATAAAAATATACAGAAATAAAAATTTTACATATAAAGTTATCACAAGAAAGTAAAATTATAAAAATAATAAAATTATAATTAATTTAGAATAAGCCGGAAATAATAAAAATATTAGAATTCAAAAATGTGTTATATTTGAAAAGAATTCTCAACTTTTAAAATTTATAAATTTTATAAATTAGATATTTAAAGTTATTGTTTTTTTATTTACTTTTCTAAAAAAAGTGATATTAGTTATTTTGTCATTTTTTAATGATTTAGTAAAAGTCTTAATATTTTTTATATATAAAAGATTTAGTAATAATAATAATTAAAATAATAATATTATTAAAAGAGGAGTTTGAAGAGTTCGTTTCCTCCATTCTTGAAGCGAATGAATTTTTTCAAAGTAGCGAAATTGCGCATTTGAAAAATATTTGGGCTTTTGACCCTTGCCGCTACCAAAATCCAATTACTGATCCACTATTTACTACTAAACTAAAATATCTGTTGCCATCTTGTGAAAATTTGGAGAAATTTGCGTTAAACGGGCCAGTAGATGATGTTTGCCATAGAGAACAACCAATAGGGAAAGAGCCTCTGGCATTTATATGCAAACACAGCACGGAAGCGCGCGTTTTGTATTTGTTGGGAACAACCAACGCTATTTTATATGGCGCTTTTTTTAAGGTGGATAGAAGCGCGGAAGGGAAAGAAATTCCTTATTTTTTATTCGACGATAACCACGTGTTTTCTATTGAGCACGTGGAAGCGGCTGTTTCCCTTTCATGGGAGCAACACACGGGCTATTTATTTTATAAAAGTTCTCGTTATACTTCTGACGTTGTCCTTGTGCTTCACTCATCAGGTGTTATTTATTATTATGAGTACTATATCATTATTATTATTGGTTTTTATTAATTATAAAAAAGAAAACTCACTGGTGTTGTACGACTGCTTTGGAAATTTCATTACAAACTACAAACTTTATAATAAGCAGCACAAAAAGTTGAGCATTGCAACTTTGACGAACGCTGTCGAGTCGAAAGTTTCCTTTATAACAGAAGAGTATTCATTACTTTCATTGGATATAATTTTAAAAATTGATTGGTAAATTAATCACTTTTTTCCCCCTGTTCTTCTACTAAAGCGGGACGCTATACCGATTGGAACTGATATGCCACTTTAGCAATTGCTTTATACACGAGTGCCTCCAAGCGCTCTCAGCGGCTCTCCCTTTGGACACTTTGGCGTTATTCACAGGGCAGGCCCTTCAACAAATTCACCAAGCGGACCTTTTTAGTAAGTATTTTTAGTGAATGTTAGTGGCAAATCCTTTAAATTTTCTATTAAAAGGTAGTCAATCGCCATCGCAGAATGAATGGGATGTTTTTGAGCAATGTTTGCTGGAGTTTTGCGGCTGCTTTTCTAATTTTACTCAGCCCGTGAACGACTCCGATCCTCCAGATGATTGGTCCTTTCTTCTTAGTTCCGCCTATCATTTAACGGTTGCTTTTTAGTGGATATTTTATTTTTTAAAAAATTTAGTGATTATAAAGTAGAGCCCTCTATTTCCGCACGCCGGCCGCTGGGAAAAAGAACCAAAGAAAAATTTTGACAAGTTTTTTAACGAAAACGCGCCCTTCAGTGACTATCTTGATGCTATCTTGGACAACCTTCATTATTTTTATGAAGCTATGAAACTCCATGTGGCCTATCGCCTATGGCAAGAATCAATGGCGGCTTTTTTACTAAAACTGGTGCGCAGATTTTTATGGATATTTATTATTTTTTACTTTTTTATAATTATTAAGTACATCATTTGGTAACCAAGAACTTACTGAAAATTTTTTATATAAAGTATCTAGAAATAAACTTGAAATATGTAAATAAAAAATTTCTATAATTTTAGTGGTCAAAAAAAAACTTGTTACTGAATAACACTGTAAAACGTATTTTTCGGCACTTTTTTCTTTAGAAATGAGCCATATCTAAAACTTTTTTACTAGTCGTTGTATCTTTCCTCAATTAACCACGTGGAATATTATTTACGCGAATTTCCAAGCTTATCGGAACTTCTTCCCTTAAAAGGTTTTTTGTCGAACTGTTTTCCGCCAAAAAACTTTATAATTTTCCTTGCCCTTTTTTTGAACCAATACTCTGCAGTTTGCAAATCTCAACTTGTTTACAAAAACGTGCCGTCTATTCATGAGTGGATTCAGGGCTGCATGTTGAACAAAAAAAAAGTTGCATTTTCCTAAAATTGCTTTATTAATAAACTAACCACATTGTCAGGAACCGGTCTTCTACGCGACCATCGAGCATCTTTACACCACTACGCTAATAAAGACTTCCTCTTTGGTTCTACGCGTGGGCGTCCACTGTTTTCTCTTTGATTGGCTGCGGAAGATTTGTGTTTTTTACACGAAATTTAGTGAATTAGACGCTATCGGTCCAGATAGTTTTTTTTTTTTAATGAAACAAATTGACGCCTTGAATTTTTCGATCGGCGAATTGGAATCCATTCCTTTCGGAGTTGCTTTTTTATTTCACGCCGTTATTTATGCCTGCAGAGAGACGTATTTTCTTATGATTGGCTTTTGAGTACACTATTTATAATACATTTATAATAGTAAAAGTATAGAGTGGACTAAAACCGCGTGTGAGATGCTAAAGCGGGATGACTTGGTTAGCCTGTCACGTGTCTAATGCATGCTTATAATGCATTTTGTTTTAATAAATTACTAGTATTACCTTCTATACAACATATTTTTTTCATTATTTTTTGTTTTTATATATTCACTATTTTTTTCCGAACTATCACTAATCAAGTCACATTTTTATGTATTGTCTTCTAAGGTTGCTTATCACGAGAGCAAAGTAGCCCCTAAACCTTGTTGGGCCATCGAGGTCAACTCTCTACAATATTTATAACGAATATTTATTAATATTTCGTCCCTTTTTGATTATAAATAATTTATGATTATAATGAAAATTGTATATTTTTGATAATCGCGTGCGTCTACATAATATATATCATTAATTTTTATCACCCATATTGCACCTGCTAACACGTGCCAACTTATAAATTGGTTCTGGTTATAAAAGTCATTTTATCCGTGCAATTAAACATTTTATAGGACTTTTGTGGTACTCACTTGTCCTGTCATGCTGAACAAAAGTCGCAAGAAACTCTCAACGATGAATGTAATGATTTTTGACTTCAAAGCCATTCTTTATATATAAAAATACAAAAAAGGCACATCATTGGAAGGCGCAGTGTTTGACGAGCGCTTTCCTTTAGACACTCGCACGTCCAAAGTTAGAGAATTGCTTCTTTCTCATAAAATACTAAAGCCACGTGGAGAATCATATTTTTGGTTTTTCATTATTATTATTATCATAATAATAATTCACTGTTATAATAGCGATCCCCAACAAGAAGAAGAACAGAAATTAAAACTGAAGTCTCTTTTGAGCTGCTCTCTTTCTGCATTGATCGGGCGTGGAATGTTCCTATTAAGTTCTAAACGCCCATCTTTTATTGGTTCTTATACTTATTTAATTTTATTATTGATTCGTTCTATTATTTTATATTAAAAACAAGAAACGTTTCATTTCCCTACACTCAACTTTTCCGTCGTTTTTCCTAACCAATCAAACGTCGTTACTTTCGATTTTAAAAGGTACTTTATGTCCCGTTTATGGTTAATTTTGGTCAGCCTGTACCTATTTCGGCTATATAACAATAATTATAATAATAACCTTCTAACAACATGCTCTCATTGGTCCGAAAGTTCAGGAACTGATGAGGATCTCGCTTGGCTTGAGTTCCACAATGGCGTGGCGGCGGGCTTACAACTCTCCCCGACTATCGAACTCGTTGATTCCTCATGGGTCGCTTATAATAAACATATCACTTCTCTGAATTCTTTAAACACACACTCTGGGTTCCTATTGGCTGTTGGTCTACAAGGTCACATGGTATTGGCTTTTTTACGAACTAATAAGACAATAAGAAATTTTTATTATTTATTTTGTTGAGAAGGCTTAGTCACAAGTTATCAATGTTTAGTGGTCAAACTTTGTAAACTTTCTAGCTTCCGCGGGTTAATTTTAAGTGGTATAAAACATAATAAAAACCTTCACTATTTTTACTGAACTTTTATAGTTAACCACTAGCATTTGTATTAGTATCAGTTCCTTTTCTTATTACCATTACTATTAATATTACCACTATAAAAGCGTGCCTGCCTCATTTTTTCATATATTAAAATTTTTCCCCAAACAGAAGCACTTGGCTCTGTGGATGGTCTACAGCTACCTGTCCAAGCGCCATGAGGCAACCACGCTGGCTTTGCTGTTAGGCATGGCGGTTGCTCATCGAGGGTCCCAGGACGATTATGTTTATCGGCTTCTAAGGTTCTCTTTTATTCACCTATATAACCACGTGAAATTGACCAATCAATATTTATTTAGCATTCACATCCTGGCCCTTCTCCCACCCGATTCGACGAGTTTAAACATAACTGAAACTGTGCAGACGGCGGCCATTATGGGCCTGGGACTGCTTTTCCAAAACACGTGTCATCTGCGTATAATTAAACTTCTGCTCAATGAAATCAAGATAAATATCTCACGCGGTTCGTTCCGCCAACCAGAAAGCTATGCGCTTGCCGCCGGCTTTGCTCTTGGCTTTGTGGCTTTAGGTCATTTCGCGCGATTTTATAAGTTCAACCCTTTGTGTGATTAGTTGGTTGCACAATCATAGGGAAAGGCGATGACGAATGTATTTCGAGTTTGAGAGTAGCAGATGAACTTTGCGGCCTCTTAAATGGCCTCATTATTATTATTATTATGAAAATTGTTATTTTTATTTTTATTTTTATTATTATTATTATTACTGAAAATATAAAAATCTTATACAACCTTCTGATAAAAATTTGTCTTAAATTTATGAAGAGGTAAATAATAAAAGGTCCTTCACGGCTATTACCGAGAAAAACTTGCGTAGTTGGTAAACCACATGGTTGGAGAGCACGTGGTAGGACCATACGGCTTCGGGCTATTTTTAGCTTATTATAGAGTCAAATTGCACCTCCACACTGCTTTAATTCTACCCGTATATCACCGGGCATATTTTCGATAGACCTTGATTTTTGGTTGTCTAAGAGTTTTGTTTATGTTCTGTTATGTAAATAATATTTTTTATAATTATTACTACATAATAGTAATAATAAAAACATAAGAAACACTATAGAAGTTTACAATAATAATGAAATGAAGTCATGCTTTTTTCTAAAATAAAAGGAAAATTTTAATGCTTTAATATTTTTTTATAGATTTTACCAAAAAAAATATTATTTTTAACGAAAAAAGGACGTTTCCCGGTTTTCGGTTTTTGGAATGTTCCGGTTCTTTTTTTACTTATTATCACTATTGTCTGTCACTACGTTTTTTTAATAAAGATAATAAAATCAAGCAAGTCACTGCAGTTAATGCAGAAGTTACTACTCCAGCAGGTTTTAATATTATTATAATTACTATTATTATTATTATTACGTTAATACTACAGTAACGATGGCGCTTGCGTTGATCTATTTAAAAACAAATAATAAAAGTGTAGCGTCAAGGTTTTTTTCTACTTTCAATCTTTTCTTTTTACTTTAATAAAGTTTTTTATTAACAGACTCAGCCTCCCCACCACGTGGTTTGAATTGCAATACATTCGGGACTTTTTTTTGCTTTTAATGGTAGTTTCAAAAAGTCTAATAATGTGGTCGTCCATACAACCTACAACCTCGTGGGTCTTTGACCAGGTTGCTGTTTTACAAAGACTTTATAGGTTTGCTTATGGCATTTGTGTATCTAGGTCCCTCATTTGTTGCGGGCATCTGGCAAGGAAAATAATGAGACGATGCTTCAAAGCATACATAGAAATAAAAGCAAAGTTAGCTACTCAAAAACTCCGTTTTATAAAGTTATAAAACTACTATATAATAGTCACAAATTCATATATATGCCGGTGCCTGCCTGGCGATTGGCTTAAAGTTCGCTGGAACTGCCTTGAAGGAAGCTGTCGCGTGCTTAGAAGTATACTCGTGTTATTATACTGAGTGCTATACTTCGTATCAATGTATATTAAATTAAGCACTTTCTGGAATTAATCCATAAATGCTGCCAAACTAGCGAGCAGGTAACACGTGGGCTTCCTATTTTATTTTTGGAGAGTACGTTTTATATCAATAAATAAATAGAAAATACCTCAAAACGTGGAATATACATGCGCTGTTATTGTTTTGCAGAGCCTCGCAATTGTGATGGCCGGTACGTATTTTTATTCACCATAAGATTAGTAGGTTTGACTTCGCACGCTTCCTGGTACGTCGATTTTTTATAATGACATATAAATATTCCAGGCACTGGAGATGTTGGATTGCTTAAACTTTGCAGGAAGATGCGAAGGGTCAAAGGACTGACGTACGGGATTTACGCAGCCGTCCACATGGCTTTGGGCTCCTTGTTTTTAGGGGGAGGCAAGCCAAATAATGAATTTTCTCGGACGATAGAAAACTTTTCATATGTATATATTTTAAGGTCTTTTTAGTTTTGGTACTACCAACGAGTCCGTTGCTGCTTTGCTTTGTGCTTTCTATCCTTCCTTTCCTGCTTCATTTTCCGTATCAAAATATTACTTACCAGGTTTAACTTTTCTATCTTAAGTATTTGTTATTATAAAAGTATTATAGAAGTAAAAACTTTTTATTAATGTAAATATTATATTTATATTTGCTATATAACCAGCACTTCGTCACATGTATGTTATTGCTGCCAAAAGACGCGCGCTGATCACTTTTGACCTTGACGGTTCACTTTGTTCATTGCCCGTTCTGAGTAAGATTTTTATTATTATTTTTATTGTGACCACCAATGCTAATTTTCATTTTCCACAAATCAAAGTTTTTTCCAGTAAATCTGAAGAAGTTATGAAGTTAACTACGCCATGTTTACTTCCTTCGTTTGATTCCATTTCGGTTTTCTTTTTTTTTTACTCATCACTATTTCTATATCTTATTTTACGTTATATTAATAGCGAGTAGAGACAAGTTCTTCATTACATTATAATCTTTCGTTAGACAAAAAAGCTGTAGAAAAGGTCGTTGCTCTAGGTATATTCTATTTCTTTTATACGTATATACATAGTTATGTATTTTTTTTTAAATATATATACTTTCAGAGGCCCTTTACCTTAAAAAAAAAAACATCATTGAAAATTTTTCAAAAAGAATTTTTGGTAGATAATTAACTGATTTATATTCTTTATTTAGTTTTTATTTTTTTTTATTTAAGCTCCGGAGTTAATTTCTTCTGTACTTAAGAAAAGCAAAGGTTTATTATTATTATAATTTATTCATATATAATATTATTAACGATATTAATTATAGAAGTGAACTTTTCCAACTCGTTTGAAAATTTATTTTATAGCGAAAATCAAATTCTTCAGGATCTTTTTTTCAAAACACTCCAGCGAAACACAATATATAATGAACGTTCTGAATTTCTTGCTATTTTTCTGAACCTGGAAAAGTGCATCAACTTAATGCCGTCCTCTTTTGATCCGGAACTTTCGCTTCAGATTAAACTAATTACTCGCGTGCTCTCCTTAACGAGGGCAAGTAGTGCTGAACCCCCTCAAACTTATTATTCGTCTTATTTTAGTTATGAAGCTCAATTTTTAAAAACTTTTCTTCTAAAAATGGAAGATTTCCTCTCAAAAAATTGTTTATGCGCATTGACTTCCTTTCTTGGAAAACTGGAGCCCTTTTTGTCGGCAGAGGAACACCTGGACTTTGGTCTTTTAAAAGAGAGAAGCACGTGGTTGTGTGGTTATTTACGGTATCATGGCTTTCCCATAGTGACAGAACTTTTTGAAATTCTGGTTATTTTAAAGGTTCTATGATAATTTAGCAACTTTTTATATATTTTATTAATATTTTTCTCCAGAACAATCCAACAACTCGAGCGTTGAGCTTGATTATTCAAAGATTCCCAACTCTTGATAAAAAAAATTTACTTACTATTATATCTTGCGTTGGTCCACGTTTAAATTTATAATAATTACTGCGAATATTCCAAAAAAGAATTATATTTAATAAAAACTTTAGAAGTTTATAAATTATTAAAACTAGTCACTTTTTTCATGTAGAAGGAAAGTTTTATAAAAATATAATCGTTTTTATATGAAACTGATTTGCTCAAGTTTTAATATTGCTTGTAGCAAAAAAAAATTTAGCCAGCACCAACTACTAAAATGGACGATAAATAAAAGCTCATTTCTCAAAAAGACACAATCTTTTAAAAGTGTAATAAAGTTTATGAAGTAAATTCAGAAATATGGAAAAGTGTGGAATTTTATACTAACAAAAGGATGCCACCAAAAAAAAAATAGAAATAACGGCTCACAGCGTCTTGTATACATACAAATACTTGTCTATCTGTTTAAATATTGAATCACTGTCCAAAGTTAAGATGGTAATTATATCTATAACTGAATACCATATACAAAGTATTATTAGCATGGAAATATCAGATTAATTTCTTCTTTTGAGCAGAAAAACATATCAAAAAAAAAAAGTATCTGGTGAGTTTAAAGCTGTTAACACCAAAGTTTCCTATAAATGAAACTCAAAAATCTGGAGTTGACTTTTCAGTTGTATTCAGTTACTGTTAGAACGGCTCTTTTAATAGGAAAATGAAAGATAAAACGTATTATACATTAGAATGCATAGGAAAGCAGTATAGAAGCCCCGGACACCCAAATGAGACACTTATAGTCATAATATAAGAGCCACCAGCACGTTAAACGATTTTTATTTAATTTCGCAGTACTTGCCTGGTTTTGACTTATTATAATTGCAACTCCATACTCTTTACAATAGTAAAAACTTTTTTGTTAGGGCACGCTCGTACGCCTGTATTTTTTAAAAAATTTTACTAATATAAGTGGTAAGCCCATATCTTATACAGAAAAAGTAATTAATAGTTACCTTTTTATGATGTAGTAGTGAAATTGAATGATAAGCTGTTTCATGAAAGTTTATGATAACCTCAACATAAAAATTTCAATCACCCTAACTTGTATTCAGCACTGCTGACTTAAAAATCTTCTCCACTTCTTTTGAAGAAACCATGACTATAAGATTTTGGTGGTTTTATAGTTTAAATAAAATACGTTATGAAACATTAATCTCGGTCAGCTTTTTTATGAAAATTATAAAATGAAATAAGTATATTTACTCCTTTAAAAGGGGTGACAGAGCCTTTATGAGGTCACAGTTCTATGGTTTCACTACATATAAATTAGAAAATAATTATTTACCAATAAATATTTGTTAAACAAAAATTATTAGCCATACAGATGAAATAGTTAATAAAATATATTCCTCATTCCTTATTAGAGCAAAAGTACATCACATAAATTCTAATATTTCTTACGTCACTTACTTAGTATGTGGTCTTCATTTGACGCAATATTTGTCTGCTCTGTACGTGATAAAACAGTGAAAGTAAAGCGTATAACCATTAAATAAAACACGTTAATAAAAATAAGTGTTCTTTATGTAGAAAAGAGCCGGATTAATATACCATTTTTTTTAAGCGATGGGCTTAAATAACGAATTTAAACTTATTAAAAACAGTGCTCCATTAAAATAACAGCATATTAAAACAGATACTTATATACTAGTCTTCCTAGCCAAGTTGACCAACCCTAAATCTTCTTTTATTCCATTAGGAACAAAAATGTTTACTACTGTTCTTAAAAAAACCGAACTGTGCAATTAAAAAATTTCTAAAATCAATTTTTTTTTGCTATTTTTACCAAATTAAAAACAAGAAATTATAACTTTTTTAATTTGGTCTCTATCAACGTTAGATTGAAGACCGATATCAGAAAAGTTATTCAAATCTTTTTCCTGCCCATAAGTGGAAAAATATTTCAGGTAAGAAAAGTTTGTTTAGTGAGTGATACAAACAAATAATTTTATTTAATCCAACCTTCAGTGTGTATATCAGTGCTTTACTTTTAATAAATGAAATTTTTCCTGCACTTAATATTTCTAGTATTAGAGTTTTAAAACTATAATTAAGTTGAAAGGATAACTATAAACAGAACTTTGATAATCGTAAAAGTAAAAGGGCTTTTATAAAAGCTCTGTTGGGACCGTATATATTGACAAAATTTTTTTATTTTACGTTTGGCTCTATATTTTTTTAAAAACTGTAATTTTTTAAAATAGAAAAACTGAACTTTTTAAAAAAAATGATGGGGATATTACTGCTGGCAGAAATCTGCTTCTTTGCTATGTCAACAGTGGCACAAAAGACTAATTGTAAGCTGGTTAAGTTCCCACCTCGGCTAAGTTGGGTCAATCACGCTTGGGGTGTTTACGATAGTGCCAAAGGTATTAGAGCTTAACCTCCTTTTTTTACGTGTATACACTACAATATTAAAAAAAAATAGGTTTGCTATCACTGGAGCCTGTAAATGGGCATAAAGTCATCTTCGTCGATTTGTTTAAAAGTAATGCTAAGAGTAACAAAGATTTTATTAATACAGGCCATATTGTTGTTTGCTACATATCTGGCGGAACAGTTGAAGCATGGAGGTATAAGTGTCGTCTATGGATCCCTTTGAACCCTAAAATCAAATTTTTTTGGTACAGGCCTGACGTTAAAGAAAATCTAGAAACTTGGAAAGCTGTTTCAGCTAATAAGTTGCTAGAATTTAAACACGAGACATGGCTTGATATTACTAAGCTAGAGCTTATAAAACCTCTTATGATGAACGTAATATATAGATTTAAATTTTTCTTGCTAATAAACCGGTTATAGTTATGAATTCAAATTGCTTGCAACTTGAAAATAATTTTTTTTTACTAGCGTCTTCAATTAGCTGTTCAAAAAAACTGCCAAGCAGTTGAAATTGATAATGTTGATTGCTATCAAAATCAGTGTGTAAACGGGACTACCAAGCCAGCGTTAACTACTCACCAAATAGAGTATGACTTGTGGTTGGTTAAACAAGCTCATCTTCTGGGACTGGCAATCGGTGGGCTACCGTATTTCTAACTTTTTTTTACTAAAAGATGCTAATAAAAAAGGTCAACGCATGCTTAAGGTCTTAAAAATGCGATCTCTCTAGTCCCGTTGTTGGCTAAATATTTTGATTTTGGAGTCAATGAAGGTAAAATCGATAATAAAAAAGGTAAAAGAAAATAAAATGTTTTAAAGTATCATATATAAAGAATGTTTAGAATATAATGAGTGCAATGCTTACAGAGAATTTATACGGCAGAAAAAAAGGTGTTGTACCTTTTGTTAAACCGGTTTGCTATTATTATTAATAACTTATATTTATTAGCATTTTTGGTGCCGAATATTTTAAGTTAAAAAAAATGACATCTTTTAATGATTATATGAAACAGCGATGTATAAGAGCTTCTTACTACAGAATGATGACAAAAATAAATATAAACAATAATTGGATGGATTGTTCTATGCTTAGCCCAAGGAAGCGGCAGAACCCTCCTACGGTAAGGGCACCACGCATCGTAATAATAGAGTTAATAAAAATACAAATTTTAAATAAGGTATCTTGCTGAGGTATCCAAAAGCGATACTCTTTTTGATATAACAATAAAGCGTATTTAAAGAGCTAAACTTCGTATAATTAATCCTTAAAAAAAGGTGAAACTTTAGTATAACAAACAATATTTTGCTGTGGAAGAATTTTATTTAAGATAGAAGAGTACTTTAAATTGTAATATGTGTTGTTTTTAGCGATTCACAAACCTTTAACTATACTGCATGCTTATAAAAGTTTGGTTTTAGTTATTAACAAATCATATAAATGATAACAATAAAGTTTAAAGTTTACAATGTTAAGTTCAAGCAAAGATGTATTTTAAATAGTTGTTTAAAGGTCATTAACACTAATTGAAGGGCATATATAATAGGGCTCCGCTTGATATTTGAAATATATGTAGCCATTACTATATAAATATGTATTGCTCTTTAATATAAACTACTACTTAGAAATTGTTTTTAACAGACTTACAAATGCAAAAAATCCTGTAAAAGTGACTCCGATTGTTCTCAACTGTTAACAAAAAAGTGCTACAACGGTAAAATAACAAAAGAAAATATTAGTACTTATTTTTTTAATACTAAACAAATTAATTATAGGATTCTGCGAATACGGAACTCCAGCATGCGATTGCACCAAACCGCCCAACTTAGTATGCTACGATCTTTTTGGGGATTGCACAGGAATCAACGGGACTTGTGTGTATAATAAAAAAATGCATCTTCAAATATGCAGGAGCAAACCCACAGTAGATAAATGTAAAGTTTTGGGTTAGTTTTGATATTTTCTCGTTTACTTTAATAATTATGTTTTTTTCCTATCTACTTATTAAAATATATTAGGGGTTTGTAAGGCTCCACCAATCGTGAGTACTCCTAAAAAAAAAGATGACCCATGTTTTGGGCTAAAAAATAGCACGTGCGTACAGAATAAAGTAGCGAATAGTAAAAGAAGAACTCCCTTGGACCCTAATAAAACTTTAACTATAGTCAGTGATCCTTCAAGCTCTTCTAATATTAATTGGAATGAAGTCGGTAAGGCTCAACATGAAGTGGTTGTGGATATAAATCGCCCCAAA